TCCAAGTCTCTGGATCCTCTAAAGAACATTAAGCCCCTGGCAGCTTGAACACAGTCCAGCCACTGTGCAAAACTCAGGATCCACTAAACAAACTCCCAGGGTATCAGCTTTCTATCTGACACCCCTTTCTGAGAATCAGAACCCCTCATTCACTTGTCCATTCTGGGCACACTGCTCACCCTGGAGACTTCCCAGTAATTAAACACAGTCCTTTCACAAAAACTTCACCCACAGGATGTGAAGCTTTTGCTTTATTACTGGGCATGCAGTAGTTGTCAAACAGTCAACACACAGACTTTGAGTAGTCTAACAACATCTTTATGCTCTTTTATACTTAATCATGTAAAGCACAGGACAGGACAAAACATGTAAGACAATAATATTAAACCTCAATATCCTTTATTATTAAGCTCACCATTCCCTTGTGAGGCCTTGGGGAATCAACTGGATTCCATCAGGCAGGGTGTTTCCTACTTCATTAGATGTTACATACAAGGCTCCTTCTTCATGGACTGTAGAAAAAGGACCCTGAGCAGAATGGCTTGCATCCTTTCAGACCCTCCAGTTCCCCTGTGTCAGGCGATACCGTTGCCAGCCTCCCCAAATAAGCACAAACCCCTGACAGATAACTTAATTAATTACCACCTCTTTAGGGCAACGACTAATCTTGAACACCATGAAATGATTTCCAATGATCGGAGTTGATTCTCAAGTAGCCTATCTACTGTAATTCTTTTGCTATCATCCTTTAAAATTTCAACCCAACAGAAGTAAAGAGAACATGCAGAAGGCAAAAAGCTGCACTTTCAACATGTTGTTTGCAGACTGACACAGATACATAAGGTTCACAGTCTCACACAGAATTCATAAATGTTACAGTCAAATCACAGTATCATTCCAGGAATGGGCTAACTGATTCTTGTGAAGGTCAAGACAAAAGAACCTCACAGGAACCTCCTCTCATTTTTAGAATGGAACTTTTGAGGACCTAAAAATATATCAGTCACATGAAAATGAAATGAATGATCAAAGTGTTCACACTGGAAGAATGGGACAATGCCATTTAAGAAAAAAAACAGTCCACTTGATTCTCATTACAGGTTTGTAGACTCACAAGTTTTGGATAAGAATATTTTGAGGGGCTTACACAGACCAGACTCCAAACCTGATGAGTTTGGACTACCACGGAATCACTTTTGAAATAATCCTTCTTAATGGAAAGTCACATTCACTAACTGTCATCAGTCCTGTGTTCACTCACAGGCAGGCAATAATGGGTTGAGGTTTTGCAAAGTTGACTAGGAGTTTTTGCCATACAGCTCCCATTAAAAAGGAAAGAGCTGGATGTTGCCTTTGAAAATCTCAACAACATCTGGTTGAAACTCAGAATTTAATTTCCTTGGAAACTTCTGACAATTCAAAATAGTTTTGTTCTGAACTGGAACAAAAAGGTGAAATTGCAAAATTATCTGTGAATCAAAAATTGCTCTAAATATTTGTTGGGTCAAAGTAAGATGTTAAAAATTGTTTAAATTTTGACTTTTATTTCATTTTTTAAAATTGGTAATTTCCTATTATATTTAGCATAACAAAATATATAAATGACATATTGTGACAAGGCACGACTGAGCATTTTGACTTATATATGTTATATGTAATTATAATAAACATCAAAATGATAGAAATTAAATATTTCTCCTCAACAAAACAAAATAATTCAACTTTTCCAATAAAAAGTCATTTTGCTAATTTTAATACTGAAAATGTTGACAAAGTTGATATGTTCTGGGAAAATACTGATTTAAATCAAATCAACATTTCAAAAGGATATGTGCTTTATTGGGATTTTTGACGAGCTGTGACCTCAACTATGATGCCCATTAGCACTTCTGCTTGAAGACTTCTAAGTGACTTGTTGAGCTAAACATTTTAATACTTATCCATTACTAGATGAAACTCTCAAAATAAAATTAGATCCTGTTAAGTGTTAAGGAAATATAAGAGAAACTTCACTACAGGAGTGAAGCAGAGCAAGATGTCAACTACTTATACATCCAGATCTTGGAAACTTCAGTTAATATTTTCTGACACATGCTTTTTTCAGTGTTACACAATCTTTTTAGCTGCACCGTTTCCCAGGATAAAATCTATTGGAGACGTAGGTTCAATCTGAGATGCTCTGAAAATTGGCAGCTATTTTAAGTACAACTGTATATTGTTCTACAGTCAGTACCAGTAGCAAAAGGTGGCTTATTGAAAGATGGGAATGATCAAATTTATGGACGTCAAGCAATATGTAATACTGTTTGCTTTGAACATGGTGAACTATTTTGGACATGTAAACAAAAGATGCCCGTTCCCTTTGCTCTAAACAATTCCTGGTGCTTTAAAGGTAATTGTAAAATAGAGAAGTCCTACAGATTAACTTAGGGGTGGGCAATAATTTTTGAAGGGGGGCCACTTCACAAATTTCAGAAGTGGCTGAGGGCCGACCCGGAAGGGGTGGGGCCTCAGGTGGAAGGGGGTGGGGTCTCTGCCTCCTGACTTCTGGCCTATGGAAGGGACCTGGAGCAGAGGGGAGGATTCCAGGGGTTAGCCTCCTCCCAGAGTTGTTTGTGGTGGAGGCTTAAATTTCATATAAGAGGGCTTGTAGCTCCTGGCTCCCACTGCTAACTTGTGCCTGCTGGGCAGCTGCCAGACCTTTGATGCCTTTGAATAGAAGCAGTTGAAAGGGTTCGTGTCTCTGGGGAGCTCCCAGGCAATGGGCCAGTGGGACAGAGCTGTGAGCTCTTTTCACTTGCTTCTGTTTAAAGGGCTTGCGCCTGCCAGGTGACTCCCAAGCAATGTAGCCATCCAGCAGGTGAGCCCTTTAAACAGAAGCAGTTAGAATCATAGAATCATAGAATAATAGGACTGGAAGGGACCTCAAGAGGTCATCGAGTCCAGCCCCCCGCCCTCAAGGCAGGACCAAACTCCATCTACACCATCCCTGACAGATGTCTATCTAACCTGTTCTTAAATATTGAAAGGGCTCATGGCTCTGGCTCCCTAGCAACACACTAGAGGTGCCAGGAGCTGCAAGCCCTTTTAAGTGCTTCTGTTTAAAGGCCTGGCGCCTTCCCTGCACTTGTCAGGTAATGCATTGTCTAGCAGCTGCGGGGAACATGAGAGCCTTTTAAACAGAAACAGCTGAAAGACCATGCAGCTCCCCATGCCTCTAACATGTTGCTAGGGAGAAAAGGATCAAATGGGAATGATCAAATTTATGGACGTCAAGCAATATGTAATACTGATTGCTTTGAACATGGTGAACTATTTTGGACATGTAAACAAAAGATGCCCATTTCCTTTGCTCTAAACAATTCCTGGTGCTTTAAAGGTAATTGTAAAATAGAGAAGTCCTACAGATTAACTTAGGGGTGGGCAATAATTTTTGAAGGGGGGCCCTTTCAACTGCTTCTTTTTAAAGGGATTGTGTCTTCCTTGCGGCTGCTAGGCATGAGAGCCCTTTAAATAGAAGAAGTTAGAAGGGCTCAAATCCCTCTCCTGCTCCGAAGCTGCTTGCTAGCAGTGGGGCCTGGAACTGGATTGCGGGCCAGATCAAAGCCCTAGGTGGGCCGGCTCCAGCCCACTGTGAGGCTTTTGCCCACCCCTGTATTAACTGTATCTAACAAGGGTACATGAACAAAATTCATATTTAAGAACTGTGCGCTAGATTCCTATCATGACCAATTCAGAAGAGTACATGGAAGATCAGATTTATAATAAATACTTTCAGGTGGCTGAATGTATAGAATTGGCTTGGCGATGTCATGGAGAATACGGGGATTTTTGTAAGTGGGATGCAGATAATATGACAATATCTTGACACAAGGGGTACAGCTAGTCTACAAGTTTTTGCTGGAAAAATGTACGCAAAATGCACGCCACATTTCGTGTACCCATTTCCGATTCTTTTGTTGGAAGAGGCTTTTCCAACATTTGGACCGTCTAGACTGGGCCAAATGTCAGGAAAAACCCTCTTTCAGAAGGCCCCGTCTTCCTCATAGGACGAGAAATACAGGGGCTTCCGAAAGAGTGCGTTTGCTCTTCAAAAAAAAAAAACAAAAACAAAAACAAAAAAAGCGGAAGAGCAAGCGCGTTCCCTGGACATAGTAGAGTTTTTTTGGGATACTTCTGTTATCCCAAAACCCCCCTGCAGTCTAGTCGTACCCAAAGTCTTCACATGTAGGGTTCTGTTAGCAGCTGGAAGTATGTGAAGAGTGAAAGACCAAGGAAATATGTTAACTTCAAAAGAAAGGTTTAGCTAGAGCTTGGTTTCAACTTAGAGTTGAAGTTCAATTTCACCCTTATGTTGCCTGCAGCATCAACTTTTCATCACTGACTAAGGATGAGACTCTGCCACCTTTACTCAAACTGCATTTGTACCTTGCACCATTGATGCACCCATTGAGGTCAATGACTATTTGCAGAGTAAGATATGGTGCTGGGGGCAAGGAATTTAACCACATGCTTCTGAATTTCAGTAGAAGATGTGTATCTAAATCGCCCTGTTGGTTTTGCAAATCTCAACCCATTTTCTTTGTTCTTAATCTCAACACCCTGGTATAACATACCAGCCATGTATTCTACTGCATCTTTTGTAAAGCATTGAACTCACATGCTGGTGGTTCAGATGATTCCCAAGTAAATGTATTGAAAGTACAGGGGCATAAAGGGTGCTTAATCACTAACTTATTGCCCATAGTTTCAGAATAGAAAGCATGAGGCTCCTCACAGATGTCATTCTCTAATTACTCCATCTATCAAAAGTAAGACAACTCATTAAAATTTGATGAATACAGCAGCAGGTTATTTCCTATCTTGAGACGATCTTAATTGTGAAAGTAAATCAATAAACGTTGGCAGCCACTCTTATGCTTTTACATGCTTCTCCAAATCAATAGTCAATAGGATTAGAAAACTCATCTCACACACATGCAGCATGAGCACACTCTTACCTCGAGAGCCGATGTATGTTGTTTGAACAATAAAGGCTCCCATAAAACAACCAGCTCCATTGAAGAAGGTCAAAAAGTGCATGGCAAGCCCTCGGATTCTGCCTGGCACAAGCCTGAATGTTAATAAGGAACCTTTGTAAGAAAGCAGAAGACAGTTACAAGTTACACAAGTAAATAATGGGGAGTGTTAGTGGAGACAAGGCTGCCATGGTGACTAGTCCTTTTAAATAGTGTCGTTTAGATCAGTTTTGAGCAGAACTTGATGATGTGTTAATGATGCTAGTGGCTTGGGATGTTCATACGCCCCACACAGATGGGTGGAGATGCATCAGTGAGGGATTTTCCTACCTTCCCCCCCCCCAAAGGTTTAGTGTACGGCCTATTGCTTCAATGATACTCAAGCATTTCAGACACGTTACAGTGGGATTTAATCATTACCCTGTTCCTTTGTAATGGCTTTGCTCAAGTGATCATGAGAATCTGTAGAAAATAAAAGACCAAATCAAAGCAATCAATAGAAAGGACAAATTTGTTTCCATGTTAAGTAGTGCAATATTGTTATGTAACTCTAGTAAAGCAAATGATGTGGTTTTAGAGCTCAAAGCTAGAATGTGGACTAGAGCCTTTAATCTTTAGGTCATCTGTGTAAATGTAGTCCTGGAGGGCAAAGACCTAACCTCCTAGGAGAGAGAGACTAGTTCAGAGCAGCTCTAGATGGGGAATCTTTGTAAGAAGCTTTGGTGAGACCCCTCAAATCTAGTATTGAAACAATCTTGTGTTTCTAAGGAAGAGCCTCCTCTCTCGTGGAGCAGGCTTGGGTGACCTCTCAGCGATGTACCTCTTCTGCAGAACAAATAGACCACTGTTCCTGTGGCTGTCACTGATTCACCTTCTTCAACTAGCAGTAAATTTGCACGATAACTCATAATTTGCCATGTAGTCTCCCCTTCCCAGTGATCTTTAGGTAGTTGCATCTTTAGTACAGAGCCAGCAATTACTTCAAAAAGAGTGAAGCAAACCAGTTGATCACCTTTAGCTTAATTACAAATAAGTTATTAAATTAGATTATTAGGGAGGAGGTACAGAAGGAATCTCAGTGTGAGCAAGCCAAACTGAATAAGTGTGAGCAAGCCAAGCCTCCTCCTAGATTTCAATTTTTAAGAATAATCAGTTGACAATGAGCAGAACTGCTTCTTTCATCATGAAAAGTGACCCAGCAAGACTGTTTGCCAATTATTAATTATGGATTTCTGCTTCACTAGAATTACTGCTATGACACTCAGATATTTCCTGTCCAGTTTTCTGCACAGCTCTTTGTTATCACACTTCAGCTGTTGCCAAAGTCTCTAGTCTTCGTAATCTCATTTTTGGAGTGCATGTTGCATCTACTCCCAGCAATTCCAGTCTTCCATGTCCCTTCTCTTTCCCCCTCCTTAGCTGATATTGCAGCAACCTTCATGGAAAGCATTTGCATTGTGAAGACTGTCATTTGGAGAGCCTAATTCCACATTTGGATTCTTGACTCATTACTGACTATAACTGACACAAAACAGTCACTGTCCCCATCCTTGATTTGCCAGTCCAAATGAGGGATTTGGAAAGCCTATTAAGAATTCAGGCTTTGAACCTGATTCAGCTAGTGGCGTGTTTACCTCGTTCAGGAGGAAAGCCAGAATTTGTGGGGAAGAGAAAGGTGACCATATGGCATTCTGTGTATATGACAGTACAGTCTGTGGCCTTGTCTTCATTGCCAAAAGAATGGTTTTTTTAAATGTGGGCTAAACTAATGGAAGGGCTATAGGATTGTTTAGTTGAATCATGAGATAAACGTCCATATACCCACTCAGCAGGGGTTGACCCTTGGGAGTTTACCTCTTGGTAAAACTGAAGATCCTCATCTTCAAAGCGAGTGAGAGAACGTGTGTGTTCATTCATTCAGGATAACTCACACACGTTACTTACCCCCAACATAAAAACAACACTTTTTTTTTTAGCAGGGAAGACAATGCTTAAAAAATTGTAAAACCAAAATCCAGACCACTTGAAATCATTGAGCATTTTTGCAAGAGTAGGGGCACAAAGCTCATGTCCTGGACAAATTCAGCTCTGGTAATTGCATTCTGCTTACGTAAATGACTCCTGAAGTTTCAGTTACACACTTTATTCCTTACTTCTCCCACAGTCTTGCTGTGAGCTATTCAACAGCTGCTGCATTCTACCCTAGAGAGACTATTGCATTTCAGTGGTGGGTGAAGGGATCTCCTTAACTAAGGGGCTGTTTGTTATGAAACTTAGCATTCCCAAAGTGCTTTGGGACAGTTGGACTATATGTGCAGATACTTTTTTGCAACGCATTATCAGACACTGCAGATATGGTAACTATTTGTTTGACAAAACATACAGTATATACACATCTCTTCTGGACTATTAACATAGCTTGTGTGAATTATTTGAGTGGATTTAGCTTTTTTATATTCTTGACCTTTTCGTTCCCAGCTTGTGTGTTTCTTTAGCCAGAACTAGCAATCAATGTATTTGAAACCTGCTTTAAATTTAGTACATTTTAAAAGATGAAAGTATCATAGGGTATGTCTACACTACCCCGCTAGTTCGAACTAGGAGGGTAATGTAGGCATACCGCACTTGCAAATGAAGCCCGGGATTTGAATTTCCCGGGCTTCATTTGCATAAGCGGGGAGCCGCCATTTTTAAAACCCCGCTGGTTCGAACC